TAAAAATCTTCATGAGCTTAAAATTTACTCACGAATCGCTGCAGTAAAACCACTTTTGTCAGAGAAACAAAGAGTGAGACGACTAAAATGGTGTAATCAAAGAAAACATTGGACTACTCCAAACTGGAAAACTGTGATTTGGAGCGATGAATCACATTTTACAATATTTAAAAATGATGGTCCAGGTCGTGTTTGGCGAAAGGATGGTCATCGTTATGACATCGAGAACCTTGTTCCATCAGTGAAGCATGGTGGTGGTGGAATAATGGTTTGGGGTTGCTTCTCTGGTAAAGGGTTGGGTCCTTTAGTTAAGGTGGATGGAAAAATGAATCGTTGGGATTATATTGATATTTTGGAGAAAAATCTGTTGCCTTTGGTTGGAAATAAATTCAATAATAGAAATTACTCCTTTCAAGATGACAACGCGCCTGTGCATACTGCCAAAGCTGTTCAAGATTGGATTAAAGAAAATAGAATTAAAATTTTAGAAGATTGGCCCTCTCAATCACCCGATCTTAACCCCATAGAACATCTTTGGCATGAACTTGAAACAAGATTAAGAAAACGAACGATTCATCCAAAAAATGTTTCAGAATTGGAGGAGGCTCTGAAAGAGGAATGGTCGAAAATTCCATACGAAAGATTAGGAAAACTTATTGAAAGCATGCCAAAAAGAATTGAGGCATGCATTTCTAGCAATGGTTGGCCAACAAAATATTGATTGTTCATTTCAAAACTTATTTCAATTTTGCTGATCATTACAAATATAATTTTTTTAATTAAATTTCGTTTTTTTAAAATTAAAAAAGTTCTAGATAATAAAAAAAACTTTAAATTTCATATGCATAACCATAAGAACCTAAGCTACAAAATGACATTTTTTATTTATTTTTTTATTATGTAATATTTTGCGGAATTTTCGAAAAACTGCGTTCGGATACTTTCTTCCAGGTACTGTATGTCCAAAAATAATTGATTTTTTTAATGATAAAAATTTTTTTTATGTGCATCAAAATGAGCACGGTTTCAAAAAATTCAATTCAATCCAAAAATTTTACATTTAGAAATTATAGATGTTAAAGAGAATTTCATCAAACTATTATTATGTTATAACTAGAGTAGCAAGTAATACAGTCAAACCTCAATAAGCTGAACTTCTGGGAATCAAAAAAATAGGATCAGCTTATCAAAATTTGGTTTATGAAACAAAACGATTTTTATTTAAATTCGGCTTACAACGTTATAAAATATAAATTTAAAAATTATTCTAAACAAAAATATTTATCTAAAGATTGTTGCACAGAACTATTAACCTTATGACTTAATAATTTTTTTCTAAGAGTACAAATACATTTTAATTCATCTTCGCATACATCAAAATCACTTGGAATAAAGATTTCATCCTGTTGCTCATCTATTTCTATTTCTGTTGGTTGAATTAATGCAACAATATCCTCGTCTTCCATTACTAATTCGCCTGCAACCATGTTATTCTCAATATTTAAATACTCATCTGCTAAAAGTGAATCATCAAATGGAAGTTGGTTAATTAAATCTTGAACTTCATGATTCTCTTGTTCAATATCAACTTCAACCTCAACTTCAACATTATTCAAAAATTCTAAATTTTCAGGTAAAATTCCAGTATGTTTCCAGCAATTTTTTATTACTGTTGATGTTACACTTCCCCATGCTTTTTTGGTAAAACAAATAGCATCATATATTGTAACTGGAGTAACTGACTTTTCTAATATCTGAGCTGTCTCATAAGCTTCAATGCGATCACGAACCAACAATTTTTTATATTGTGCTTTAAAAGAATGAATAATTCCCGCATCACATGGTTGTAAATGACTAGTAGTATTTGGTAAAAAAAATTCCACTTTTATATTGTTCAAAGTATCTAAATTTCATGAGAATGAACTGGTGCATTATCGACCAATAATAAAATTTTTCTCTTTTGAAAATGCATTTTTTTATCAAGCTTTTGTAGATAATCATTCCATATACTGACTTGCATCCATGCTGATTGGTTCCAATAATAATCAATTGACAAATCATTTTTATTTTTACCATTAAGTGAACAAGGATTTTTATATTTATATATAAACAATGGATCTAATTTCTCTATACTTGTCGTTGGAATTCCCAGGCAGAAATAATACGGTCACAGCATGTGCCTTATTATTTGCTGTAAATAACGTAAACCGTAAAACTGTAAAATCGTAAAACCATAAAACCGTAAAACCGTAAATACCATAAATACTGTAATAGTAAATACCAGAAAATAAAAGACATAACAGCATGTGTAATAGTAATGGCATCATGACTATATATTAATATTTACAATTTACTATCATTATCATAATATTATTATACAACACAGTTTACTTATTATTTATCATTATTTTTACAACAATTAAAAATTCAAATTTCTCCCAAAAAAAATTACTCTAGCAATTCTTCAGAAAAAATTGCATCAAAATTAACATTACGATCACCATGATCAAAAACCTCCTGCTCATTCCTAGTTGTACTTTCATCTTCATTTCCATTTACATCAAATCCAAGGCTCAAATTCATAATACCTTCCATAAACAAAATATCATTATTTAAACCAAGACTTTCATCCTCCTCTTCGTTTTGATCTTCATCCTCCTCTTCTTCACCATACTCAAATAATTCATTATCTTCACCATATTCAAACAAATCATCATCTTCAGCCATATATTATATAATATAATTGTATAATGTAACTGTTTTTACCTAATGCTTGATTTATTCTCTCTCTCTTACTTGTGTCAATTTCTACAGAAGAATCAATATAATTGGTAATGGATGGATTAGATGAATTTATCTTCTGTATTTTATTAGAACTCGAAGATTGTTCTATCAATATTTGCATGTATTCAAGTTTTACATTAGTTGGCACTGCAGAACAATGTAAAGCTAGATGCTCTTTCAAAAGTTCAGGTTTACCTCTAGACCAAGCTTCTGCGCAATAATGACATTTGGCAGAGAAGTGGCCATCTCCTATTGTTTCTTTAAAAAAAATGCTCCCAAACAATTGATTCTTTACGACCTCTTTTATTTTTTTTTGACCATTGCTTTGATGATTACTTGACATGCCCGACCTAACAGAACTCATAGAACTCATTTTTTCTTTTAATAATTGAAAAATATTTTGTTAAGAAAAAACTTATTATTTCATATAATATAACTATTTCTATAAATATTTATTATCATTCACTGTTGTTTAAAACCTACATTAGTATGTTTATGTTATGTTTAATTGAATTAATAAAAAAGACGTTTAATATTATTAAAGATTCATGGGAAAATTTTTCTATGTTGGAACAGGAGAGAACGTGCTGGGAACACAAAAATTAACAGGAGGGAACACAAAATTTTAACCCATGCCATTTGTTGATCGACCAATTAAAATGTGAATTTGATAACGTAGAAATAAATATGGGTTTGATTCATTTTGTCAACAATCACTTCACCAACAATTGTTTTGTTAACGAATTTAAGAAGTTGGAAGCAACCATGTGACAAGCCTTCAAAATAGTCTAATAAATTAAATCGTACTACTCGAAAATGTATTTAAATGGTTAGTTTTCGACTTGGTTGAAAAATAACTCTCTTCCTAACTCTTCTCTTGACCATATCTCTCGATATAACCAAAATAACCTT